AGCTGACTGTGGTCGCATCGACCTCCGATGCGCGTCTGTCGATACTGTGCATAATTATTATCCTGAAGTATCTTTGTAGTAACCTTATATTATATTGTTGTGTCTATATAATGTAAAATACGTATTACTTATAGTTGTGTGGTGTTTCGTATGTAATGGTTACTTACACATATGGAGAGCGGAGTGATACCTTGCCAACACAATCTCCACCACAGATTAGGTCGTGATCCTAACATCATAGCAATGTCATCATAGAACTGACTGCCACCTGTCAATAATAAAGTATAAATACCGTCAAACAATAAATACATGATAGAAAAAATATACATATTGTAAATGTTATATTCCCCAGTGTCCCCCACCATCATTATATTGTAGCTGGTTTACGACTTACCGTATATCCAGCCAATCACCAGGCATTCTACGAGCGATACGACAAAAAGAGAGATTACTCCGGTGTACCAATCCATGATTGTAAGTAGATATATACCTCCCTGCAAACATAACATGACGTCAATTAAAAAAAACGCAGTCGACAATAAAAAAATACATTTTTTATGTCATGATATGGATATTGACAACATGTATCCATGACAATGATTTATCGTGGGAATGTAGTGAAATCATGGTTAGAAGATTATTAAATGCATGACAATCGAATGAATTTTCCCCTTATAATCACGTGATTACAGCACTCGTGGACTGACCTATCTCGAGAACGATCTTTGATAAACAGGACTGTAGAATTTGTCGAATCGTGACCTACCTTAGTGACAAGTGGTAATCCTAAAAGAAAACATCCGATACTGAGACATAACATGAAGATAGTCTTTCTTTTTCTGAGCAAACCGGGGAACATATCGGTGAGGGCGCTGCACACACCTTCTACCATACCGAACTACAAATGTAAGTTTAATAAAGTGATTACAGTAGCTGTCATTTCTTATCCTTTACAGGGCATTTTTATAACGAACGCCGGATGAAATCAGACTTCTATCAGCCACTGAAAAAAACATGTAATGTCGACGTTACAATTACACTATGGCGCTGTACTGTGCTGTAACCCACAGGCCACGTGACGATTGGTCTTCATTTGTCTGAAATAAAGCGCTGCTATATTGAATCAATGATTCGGCATGTAATACATGACACATACATATAATACATGACACATACAGCTGAGTACAGAGGAGTACAGTTACCTGGCTGTCAAGTCCTAACGTAAACAACATAAAGAAGAAAAGAATTGACCATAACGGAGCTAGCGGTATACGAGCCAAGGCCTCTGGGTATGCTACAAACGCCAAACCGGGACCTGTGGGGAGAAATGAACAATAAGCAAACACACACACCATTTTGCCAGCACAATTATATATCGCTGTCGCGTGATTGGGCTGAGAAGCTGGAAATTGAAAATAAAACCGTTAACTGAAAGTTTTTTCTTGACAAAGTCACAGGTCTGAGGCAACGACTGGAGTAGACATTATATTGAAATATTATGAAATTAAACATATTCACACAAATAAGATAAAAGACTCATAATAGAAACATCCGGGATATTTTGTGACCGAGTGAAGCACGTTTGGGTCGTTGCTATGAAATGTTTCAAGATGGCTGCAAATGATCATATATGTTGGGTCGGGAACATACCCCGCTAAATTTTCATTACAATATTTCCTTAATTAATTTACTTTGCTTTCCTACTTAAAGAATGAGGGGTCCATACCAACATTAAATGCAATCCGACATTTCTTACCTGATGTAACGACCGAGTCAATTGGTTGATCCAACTCATGTGACATAAAACCAACGATTGAAAATATCGCCAATCCTCCATAGATACTAGTACCAGAATTCACAAGCGGTACAATGAGGGCATCCCTGTGTGGTAAGACAATATTCAATGTTGATTGATTCACATAGATTCATTCAGAGTAGATTATCAGAATACCATTATCAGTTTTTGTAAATTCGTCGCATACGATAACGAGGAGTTATAAGACGTCGGTAGAAGGACGTTTCGGCCCTGTGGCTAAGATCATTTAAACATTGAATTCCAATGAGATCGAACCGGACAGGCCGAAACGTCCAGAGCCGAAAAATCCAGGCCGGAACGTCCAGCATTTATAAGACGTTATACATTTCTAATGTCTCTAATGCTTTAAATGGCGTTTGCTGTACAAGGTTTGACTGGTGGCTTGAAGGTAATTTCACTTGGTTGGACTATTTTCGTCGTGTGCTATGTTGAGGTTTCATCTTTCGTTACTTCCTGTTGTATGCAAGTCTGAGGAAAGACACTGTGCATTTGATTAAACAGCACCTATGCTCTGAAACATGTACTATTAGCAATTGCGTCAATACATTTTTATTTAAAAGTTACAAACCAACGTTTTGTATTTGTAATTATATTGTCTTCCTTCCATGTATACCACGACATAATTGTTTCTGCCAGTGGCGCTAACGATTCTTCCTCATCGGAACAATATTTGACGCACAAAGTATAGTCAAGTGTCATCAATATCAAAACTAAGTATGCCAAAACATTTATTGCCATATTCGTTTTCATTTATACTCAACTAACAATACAATGTATTTGATCGGAACGGGAAATGTGAATGCAGGGCGCTTATTGACCGATGCAGGGCGCTTGTTGACCGATGCAGGGCGCACGACTTCCTATGCAGGGCGCTGCGCCCTGCTAAAACCCCTCGTGGAGAACACTGATTTGTGTGATCTAAGTCAAGGTCAAACCACATGTCACCAATGAAAGGTGGAAAATCACTGAAAACCATGTGCATGAAGTAAAATATCACCACTCAAGTCACAGCAGAGCAGTAAAATACCGAAAGATGTTGTATACCTTTTTAAAAAATTGTCTGATTTCATATATCGCATTCCAGTCTGTGCCTGAAAGCAACAATGTTATTTCAAGGCTTGTTGAGCGCTACGACATTATGACTTGTATATCTAGACAGACAGACAAACAGACAGACAGACAGACACATTTCTGGTAACACAATCATTTACGTATGCACTCACCGGAAACAGTTATGGTGGAATCGATTGTAACTTGCCATAGTGAGTAAGCCTCCCCAAGCTGGTCCCAGTGAGTAGAAAATTTGGGAAAACGCATCTCCCCATACCTGAAAATAACATTTCTAAATGTCTATTCACAATTTTATATTCGTCTTTGTGTGATTGTGTGTTGAACCAAATACAACGCAGAAGATATTCTGTGTTTGAGGGCGCAGTGACGTTCATCTTCAATAATAGATTACAGCAGTATAAATCAAGTAACCAACCGTAGATCTTCATACAAAACTCATATAGACACATTTCAAAGAGCACAAAACAAACGACTGACATGAATTAACAAAACAATCCACAATAACAAAACAAAATAACTGATAAGTACAATATACTAAATAGTAAGAGTAATATATATGGACTCTGTGATTACAGGAAGTGATGTCAGCTGTGAACGCATTCCTCTCCATATGTGAACTCGCCATATATCAATCTGAGTCAATAATCAAATGGTTTATGTTTGAAACACGAGGTCTACGTCAGACACGTGGCATTGACGCAACCTGAGATCATCCGCTGAAATAACAATTGTACAACACATATGTATATCTACATAATTATGTATACTAAGAATCTACGTAAGTATATTATTGTATTCAAATCATAAGATAATGTATTTCATTTGTTATCTCGTCTAGATTGTTGTTTGGTATAGGGTTATTTGTGTGAAATTCCTCTGACATAGCCATGGTTCTGACAACGCCTTGCGTAGTACATGTTCACAACAACAAATAAAATACCGTTATTTTATATATTTACCTTTGGTATTAATAACGCCTCCCATTTTGGAATCAGGAAAAACTTTAATCCATTCAATGAACCTGGTAGGGTGACTCCACGAATCAGCAAAATGGTAATCACTACATACGGGAACGTTGCCGTGAAATATACCACCTATAGACATATAAAGAAACCGAGAATCGTTATTTATCGAGGGAACATTTTTTGAAAGGAAAGTGGTGAAAAAAATAATACAAGAAAATCGAAATTTTGTAATCGATAGGCGCATCTCAGCGAGTCGCTGACTACACTTAAAAGTTGTATGAAGTTTCTTTCTCTAGACCTCCTTACCAGACAGCCAAAATATACACTTTCTGGACAATGTTGATGTTGTCATTGTGTAGCCAGAATTAACGATTATATTGCTAGAGCGGTTCTTATACGCGTTTTTTTCTTTTTGCATTATATTATTATTAACGTAATGCATGCTAACATTCTAGACTTCTTTCCAGATACATTTGCCCCAATAGGGGCCTTATTTGGTTTCCCATCGCTACCACTTTACCAGGTTACCCCCCC